AGAGAGAGAGAGAGAAAGGTAATGGTAATAGTTGTTATTACAAAAAAGGAATGCGAACCGATAACTTCCTGTCCTCTTTTTCTTAATTCCTTTTTTTTTTTTTTCACGAAGAAATTAGTAAAGATGTTATGTGAGATTTCTCTTCGGAAAATTAAAGATCGATTAGAATTGAAATTTATTATTAAAATTCAACTGTTCCACTATCCAAGAATGATTCATCCCGCGATTATTTACTTCCAAGAAATTCTAATCTCGAGAAGTAATCAATAGATGCTCTTTGAATACAAACGATAAAATTTCTCGATAGATATTGATAGAGTAAAAGTTAAGAGAAGAAAAAAATCGTACCATTGTTAAAGTTAACCAGTAATAATGCGATAAACATTTAATCATCCAGCATCGAAAGTTCACAGTTGACCCCTATTTGACCCTAATACTACAATAAATACAACACGATACCTCGCTTGTCATTTGTCTTCATCTAGTATGTCTCCAAATGGAATCCATTTTAGAAATCGATATGAATCTGTTAGATTATTAGTGTAAAAAGATTGAATTCTTTCCGGTTCAATTTACTCTTCATATTTCTCGAAAACTTCCAGGATGTCACAAGAAAATATTTAAATCATATGATCATATCGTAACATTTATGTCTTTCCTCAATGACAAATAATGCGACATTTGCGCTCTTCATAGGATAATATGTAATAATAGTTTCTTAGCATAATGTAAATTAAATTCATGTCGCATTTAAATCATATGTTCATAAAACTACGGGGAAAACTACGCCCAAATGGTCAAAGATTAGAAAAGGTATTTTAAACTTGATAAATGAAGGTAGAGAAACTCTGAGTCATTCATATACATAGTTAAGGTTACAATAATCTTAACTAAGTGTATGAATAATTCGGAGTTGACACTTCAACGCCTCAAACAAGACGAAATAAAGGAGGAACCAATTCAAGTAACTTATTATCCATCAGTTAATTTCCCCTCAACTACCACTGTCTACATTCAGTGGTAAACGAAAATTGTGGAGAAGATTCTGGAGTGGCTTCCCAGCAGCAGTTCACTTACAAAACATACCAGATATTCACAAATTAAATTGCTTAATGGCATGTCTTAAAGGAGACGCTTTGCTAGCCATAGAGGGCTATGACATAAACCTAGGAAATTAGGATATCATACGAATGGTCCTTATTGAGAAGTTTAGACAATCGCGCATCATCAAAAAATTACTCTACAATGAGTTACATTCCATTAAGAAGAATGGGAAGTAACAATTGAAGCCATCGAAAGAATACTTAGACAACTTGAAGCAATGGGCGAAAATCTTGAACAATCCAGTGTCGAAAACATCATTGAAAATAAACTGCCCGGCTGAATTCTGGACAGAGTGGATCAACAAAATGAGGAACAAGAAATATGGTCAGTTGTTAAGTGAAGACAATTCTTAGCGAAACTGATTCAAAGAAGCGAAGAAGTTACAAGAAGCCAATATCTCGATATTAAGAGCGAGGGTTAACTAAAGATAAAATTAACCCATTAATTCGCGATATTTTCCAGGAAAAACTTTGGCTCTACAGTGACTCTGTAAACACATACAAACGAAGAAGGTTAATAAAATTCAAGGACATTGTATTTCTTGCTCCTTCGTAATGTCAAGATATTGGCTTCTTGTAATTTCTTCGTTTCCTTAAATCAGTTTCGCTAAGAATTGTCTTCACTTAGCGACTGACCATATTTCTTGTTTCTCCTTTTGTTGATCCACCTTGTTCAGAATCCAGGCGAGCAATTTATTTTCAATGATGATTTCATTACTGGATTGTTCAAGATTTTCGCCCATTGCTTCAAGTTGTCTAAGTATTCTTTCGATGGCTTCGATTATTACTTTCCATTCACGATCATTCTTCGTGATGGAATGTAACTCATTGTCGAGTAATTTTTTTGATGATGTGCGATTGTCCAAACTTTTCAATAAGGACTTTTCGTATGACATCATAGTTTTCTGAGATTATGTCATAACACTTTATGGCTAGCAAAGCGTCTCCTTTGAGACATGCCAGTAAATAATTTAATTTGTGGATATCTGTCATACCATTTAACATCCCTGATAAGTGAAATTGCGAAATAATCTTAAACCGTTACATCAATCAAGGTTAATGTACCAAGGACTCGTTTAATAGAGGAAGGAGGACATTTATCTGCCAAACCAATTTTTCTTATAAACTTAATAAACTTCCATCTCATGTCCCTAATTCCTCCATTCGGGAGTGTCGCTAATTTCGAATATCCCGAAGCTCCAAATAAAAGAAAGTAATAAACTAATGTATAAATTAATCGTACAAATTATAAATAAATATTAACAATGCTATGAATCATTTAACTAATTTCACATTCCTCAAATTCATTGTTTCATGCATTTTCCTTTGTTCATATCCTTTCATGTCAACAAAATCATTTCATATGCTAAATTTCTTTGTTTAAAACCAAACTTATTTTAATCAAATTTTTACAGCTTTTGTCCAAAGTAACATCTGTTGGAATGTTTGTTATAAACCATTCCCATCAATATATATCCTTTGTATTAATTAAAATTGTATATATACTTAAGATTATTACTAAAATGACATTCATTGTTTTTCTTTTTAAATACTCAACCAAGGACGATACCGTACACTACGTCCTCGACAATATTTTTATCACTAACTTTGCATCCTTACAATCTACTATCCTCCACGAATTAATAATTTCGTGCTGAATCAAACGAACAATACCTTCCTAGAATATTCTTCCGTGCTTATGAACAAACCCGGGAAACAAGAAAGTTTCAATTTTTCCTGCACACTTTAGCATTTTGTTTTGTTGAAGCTATTTTTGGGCGCATTTTAACATTTAATTGGGAATACTTTTGGCGCATTTTAGCATGCTTTTTAGAGTACCACCATCTAGCGCATTTTAGCATGCTTTTTAGAGTACCACCA